TATATATATATATATAATATATATATATATATTTATGAGGTTTTAGGTTTAGTTTTATATGTGTATTGTATCAGGGCAGCCGTCGGTGTTTTTTCTTTCCTTCCAGGATCATATCTAAAACTCCAAGTTGTGCTTCTGTTGTATCTTGATCTCCATGTGTTGATTATCTTCTATATCCCCTTCTACATCCTCCCCATGTCGCTCCCGACCGCCTTCCTTTGCTGCAGCCGACCCCAAACAGTCATCGTTCCTCTTCTTCCTGCGGTTCCTCACAGTCCAGCCATCATCCTAGCTATAGCAGCCCTATCACTGGATTAATTTGGGAATTAGTGTAATGATAATGGATGATCACAAGAATAATACCAACTAGGGTTTTTAAAAGTTATAAAGGTTACGTCAGCTACATGAGGACTGACATAATACTAGGATTAGTTTGGGCTAGTCTTGGCCATAAAGCCTTCAATGATTTTAAAAAGTAATTTAAACTGCTATTGGATTTGGGGTTATAGATAAATGAATACAAAATGAATAGAAGAAAAATTCTACAGAAATCACCAACATAATTTAGAAAGCAGAGCAAATCTACCACTCACCAATATAGTAAACCAAGAAGAAACCACCCAATTTCTCCTTCAAGAGTTTGACCACCAAGTTTCCCTCACAAGACTTAAAATCCAAAAGTTTGCATCAAATTCTTCTTCATTTCATCATCAAATTTTTTAAGAGAGGGAGATGGGCTTGGTCCACAAGCTTCAAAGGAAGTTGGGGAAGTTACAAAAGTGTTCTAACTTCCTCTCTCTTTCGTGTCCGACATTATATAGAGGGAGAGAAAGTTATTTAGTGTTTCAAATCTCGATACCATCTCTCATTTAAATTTAAAAGTTACTCCACCCTATATTTCAAAAATTTAAAATTCAAATTTTCAAAATTAAAAAATGTTCCAAAAAAATCAAAAATTACAATCACAATTTTAATAAAAGATTATAAGACAAAAAAACACAAATATTAAAATAGCATCTTCAATTGGTCTCGTCTTACGCACTTTGTTGGTTAGCAACTATCTGCTTATTTTACGACTCCTACGACTAGTTCAATCTTTCCTACAAGTGCAACTTGTGCTATATCACAGTAAATTCATATCAATATGGAAGATTTCAACAGTACCTATACATACTTTTTCTAAAAACAAAATAAGATAACATGCTATAAGCGCAAAATCTACAAAATTGTCACTACTACACTATCAATCAGCAAGCACCAAGAGATGACTTGTATCATCCTTAACATGCCCCAATACCCTAGCACTGCTATAGTCTGACTTAGGGTTCAAAATGGATCGTTATTTTGTTCATATTAGGCTATAGCTGGAATTCAACTTAACTGAACTAAGTGATTGAAATAATCAAGAGAAACTCAAAGACCCATCCATATGTTATTTGTTCCTGAAGAGCTCTTCCAAATGATTCTAATTGATTGTAATAAAGCTCGGTTATTCCAACAAAGATAAATGCCTTATTCCAGAAAATAGTAGAAAAAAATTAGATGAAAAAAGGTTACCTCATTTAAAGCATCCAACACAAATGGAAGCAAATCCCCATTCGAGTCCTGATATAACATGAAAAGTCAGTAAAAAAAATACATAGAAAGGTAACCCTGATACAGCACAAAAAGTCAGTTAAAAAATACATATAAGGTAACTAGAATAGGAAAACATGAGTACAGTACTTGTAAAGCTTCATTATAGCCTAATTAAGAAAAAGGCGAAATCCCCCTCCCACCAAAATTTTTTTTTTTTCCTCAATAAGGTATGAATAAGTTGAATACACAAATCTAAGTAATCCTAATGCTTTGGCATGACCTTAAGGTTTACCATATTGCATGAACCACAAAACCAGAATGACATGAAGTACTTGAAGAGGGGAGCATAGACACATTTGTACATTCAAATATCCTAAATAGTTGATTCAAGTGAAGTCGAAATGGCTAAAGACAACAAAGAAAATTCAAACCGATAAAAGATAATTAAATTGCCCAAACCAACATCAACTTACTTGGATCAATACCAGCTCAACAAGATCATGGTGAACTTGTCAGAGCCTACTAATACCATCATTTCAAGGTGCATTCACATACCATCATTTCAAGGTGCATTCAAGAAAAACGGTGCAGCTGCTCTCAGGCAGAACCATTAGAGAACCTATGCTGTAGTACTTCCTTGAATGACAAAGAAAGAAAAAGAAGAAAGCATAATAAAAAGAAGCGAGAAGGTGAGTCTAGTTGACTCTGTGTCTCTTCCGAGGACATCTTAGAAGTTGTTTTGCTTTAAGTGGTGTCTTAGATAGATCAAGAAGATCAAGAATAGAGGCTAAAGATTCAAGATGTCAATGATCACAATTTTAAGGGAAAAGTTCACCGGTCTTAATGATTTCAACCTTTGGAGGCCGAAAATAAAGACACTTTTTATGCACCAAGGCTCGTGCTGCCCTATTGGAGATAATCCAGAAAGTAGATGAAAGATTGCGTGGAGAGTTATTGAACAAAAATCATAGCACAATTCTACTATGATGCAGGAGCATATATCGGCTCCCGCAGTCCCGTTTCCATGGTTATTGTGCCATTGGATCCCACGATCATGAGAGAATCAGCAGCCGTTTTCTTTTTTATTATTATTTTTTATTTCAATTTTAGCAAATTTCTTCTTTCCTTTCCTTCCTTTCTAAGCCTTCCATTTTTTTTCTTACATTTCAATTAAATATTTTTTCTATTAGGAGACTTTTAATATATTTTAGTAGGTTTTCGGATGCAATTTTTTTTGCATTGTTTCTGAATTTTGTTCTCCTGAGGCTTATATCTTATTCCTTTCGCAAATGGTTTGCATATAACTTGTCTAGAAACAGGTGGTGGATTCCCCTCCTCGATTTGCATTCAACCACTGTTTTCAGCAAGGACAGCCACCGAACACCTCCGCCCTGCCTCCCAGCAGCAGGTCTCACCTCCTCTTCCCTCCCAGACACCGTCTATTAAATGGTTTCAGCCGAACAAGCATATGCCGCTACAATCTGCCGTTCACGGCAGAAAACCACCCTTTTCCTGCTTTTTATTCGTTGTTCCGTCATCGTTCACGCCATTTTTCAGCCACCATCCATCTTCCCCACGCACGTTATCAATCCGACAACATTGCCAACATATTTTGTGCTTTATCACACCTTCTAGGAATCCTAGAATAGTTTCATACCAAGTCTTGGAAATGAAGTTCTTCGAAAAGCTGTGGATAAAAGAACTGTTACCGACACATAAAAAGGGTTAAAATTCTTATTTCTTACGAATACTTTGATCAGTTGTTTATATCTCAAGAAAATGTATATATTGCAAATGCATGACTAAAATAATTGTATAAGCTTGTAGACAATTTTAAACCTAAAGTTCTTCATTTGGAAAGAATGTGCGCGAATAGCTGATATATATCAAATAATTATTCTCCTCAGTTCAATGCCAAGTACGTTTAAACATTTTGTTAACCCTATGTTCTATGAAAATGATTCTTTGGCTATGTTATAGGTAAAATCTGCATGAAATTTAAATAAATATTGAATCTTAGAAAGATAGCGCAATTGAATAGCGAATTATGTGAGGAAGATCAAGAAAATAGGAGCCAAGGTTCAAGAACCAATCAAGATCCAGCTCAGAGGCAAACAAAAAAAAAAACTTTTTTCATCAAAAAGGTCATTTCAAGAAGCAACGGCCAGAGAAGAGCTAGAATCAAGAAAGATTCCATGATGGAGATGCTGCAATAATGTAGGCTATGACCGTGGCAGGTCCTATCAATCTTAGATTCTAATCCAAGCAAGGAGTAGAACCAAATTCTGGATGATCTTGACAGATGTACCCAAATAAGAGTTGGTTTGAACCTTGAAATTAAATAGGTGGCATAGTGTATCTTGGAAATAGCAAGGCTTACAAAGTTGAGAGAAAAGAATCTATGTGACTTCAACTCCATGATGGCATTGAAAGAGCACTAAAAAATATGACTTAAGTTCCTGACCATAAAAGAAATTTGATTTTTCTCAGTGAATTAGATTGTTGTGGATATAGTTTTAATTGTGAAGATGGAAGCCTAAGGTGTGTAATGAGTTTTTGATCATAATGAAAGGTATTCATATGAATGGGATGCATAAACTTCAAAGAAAATCAGTGCTTGGAGGATGTATGAGCATGTCTTGTAATATTATTGAAGAAAACAAGTTATGACATCCTATGAAGGCTTGAAGAATAGTAATTCTTTGGATTTAGGAAGCCCGCAAATTTGAATATAGCAAAAAAAACAAGATATTAATGTTTTTCCTTCAAAATATAAATCTAATGAGATTTTAGGATATGTGCATTCAGACCTCTCTCAATTGTACAGAAAAGGAGTAGCATGATGGGGCATGCTACAGTCAAGTATTTATTAAAGATTATCCAAAAAATTGTTCCCTCGTTACTTGAAGCTGAAGATAAAGCTTATATAAAATTCAAAGAATGGAAACTGCAAATTGGAAATGGCCTTCAGTTTTACTTGGATCTATTCATTAAGTATTGCAAGGAACAAATAGTATATTATTTCACTAAGAGATTGGCACCTTAATAAAATGGCCTAACCGATAGCCACAACAAGACCACTCCTTAAAGGGTAAGATGAATGTTGAATAATGTGGGTTTACCAACAGAACCTTATTAATAAATAGAAGTCGTTCATCATCTATTGAGTTCAAGACCCTAAAAGAAAGGTGGAATGGAATACCAAGAGATTACAATAGGCTAAAGGTAGTTCATAATATAGCTTAGGGTCATACTAGGTGATGCGTAGAAAAACAAGGTTATTTTAATTTATATTTTGCACATTTTTATGAACGAAATTGCACTTAAAAAAGTGTATTTTCATGTTTTTTTCTAGCAGATACAACAGGCAGTAAAAGTGGATCGAAGTGGAGAAGAATTGGAGCGAAGCAGGCGCCTTGATGCTACTTACTTGAGCGTCTAGGCGCCAGTGCATAACCGAGCAGACAAAGAGGTTGTTGCCTAGGCGCTAGCAATTGCTGGGCAGTTTTCAGCAGTTTCTCCCCATGCCATGGGGAGTTATTTGGAAGTTAACAAGAGTTCTTTAAGGGGATTTAGAAGAGGATTTTCATGGAGAAGAAGACGAGAATAGTAGGGTTTGTTGTATAAGAAAATTAGAGCTTTTACTTAGAGATTTTGGTGAGATTTGAGAGGTTTATTGAAAGAAGATTATTCAGCACAGCAGCACGGGTCTAGGAGATCCTAGGAAAGCATTTTCAGAGCATTGTAAAGAGGAAGAAGCTAAGTATTGTGCATTTCTTGTATTGTACTTTTGTAAAACACAATTACCTAGTGGATTTGTTTTGTGTTAATGATGTTTTGTGGTGTTTTCTCTATGCTTAGTGAGTAGTTTTTCACCTTTCTCTTGCAATAATTATGTTAGTTGTGTAACATTTGTAGAATGCTTTTAAAATTGATTTTCAATCTTTAATGTGATGAGTAATCTTCAAAGCTTCATTTATTTTTCATTCTAGCCAAATGATAAGTTAAAATATGTTGTGACCCATAATGACTCGAGAAAGCTATGGAAAAAAGATTAGAATGTTCGCTTTGAACTATAAAGTATGAAGCAAAAGTAAATTATAGGGAGATGCAAATAGCTAGATAAATAATTTTTGATGGGTTCATATTATGATTTAAGGAATTAAAATAAGTTTAACCAAACTTCTTTATGCACTCGAAAGAGAGTAAGAAAGAGAATTGCTCATATTTGTCACTAGCCTTGAAGAGCCTAGAAAAGAAACCCAAAAGATATTCAAAGAATATCTACTATAGCAAGTGGCATTTCTAGGCGTATGGTTCAAGCACTACAAAGTTATGAGCAAGTAGATTCAATTGTTATCCCATTTGTGACTATATATTTTATAAGGTTATGAACCAATTCCTATAAAGAAGTTATTAAAAGTGCATAAAAATATAATGACAGCAGCCCGTGAATGAAAAATGACGTCCCTAAAGAAGAATAACAATTGGAAGTTGTCAGAGAAATAAAAGGATTTTCAATTGCAAAAGATTTTTCAAGAAGGATTCCTTCAGTAAATGAGCTACGATTCAAAGCTAAGCTTCTGTTAAGATGGTTTCCACAAAAAAAGGAAGTAGAATATGTTGAAATTTTCTCTCTAGCTGCAAGGCATACGTCAATATGGGTTTTTCTTGAGATGGCTGTATAGTTTGAAATGCACCTTGACATATGGTTGTTAAAATTGCATCTTTGCATGAAATATTGGAAAGCACTATCTACAAAAATCAATCTAATGGATCCGTTGAAGTAGGAACCAAGGATAAGGTTGAAACAAGCTACAAGATTACAGAATGAAAAAAATGATGAGCATATGTTTGATATTGACTTCTGTTATAGCTTCTATGGTTTTTTGTGTGAATTTAAAATCTATGGAGGTCAGCAGCTCTATCTGCCGTTTGCTTTATATTGATGATATACATAAGAGTACTAATTTAGAAGAAAACAAGAGGTTGAAAGCTTTTCTCAAGGTGGAGTTCAAGATTAAGGA